AGAAAAACAGCTTTGTTCTTGCACTACGCTGGCCCTGATGTTGATAATATCCAGTGGCGGAAATTCACTTTTTCCGGTGGAGGGCAAAGCCTCCTAAATTTCCGACTAAACTTTCAAATTTCCGATATACTGTACCAACCCCCCCCCATTTGCACTCGAAAAGACTGTTTATTATTTTTATTATTATTTAATCTTATTTACACACATATACAACGGTAGCCCTTCAGCAAGTTTATGTACAGTTCCTTGTAGCTGATTTTCAAGGGCCGTTGATTAATAATAAAGGAAGAAAATAATGAAAATATACAAATATATATATATATATATATATATATATATATATATATATATATATATATATATATATATATATATATATATATATATATATATATACAGTATATATACAGTATATATACAGTATATATACAGTATATATACAGGAAAATATCTATACCACGTAAGCAACCAAAGATAATAAATACGCGACAGTTTAAGCATTATAACATAGAAGCTTTCAATCTAGATTTGTATAATATCCTTCATTCACAGGCGCATGAATCCGATCCGAATATCCTTTGGGATGACTTGAAGGAAAATTTTTTGTTAGTACCGAATATGCATGCACCACCGGTCATCAGGAGAGTTCGAAGCGAACATGTGCCATGGTTAACTTCGGAAATCAAAACAAAAATTTATCATAGGGATTTTTTTAAGAAAAAAGCAATCAAAACAGGTTCAACTCACTTTCATAATGCATACAAAAATGCTAGAAATAATTTGAGCAAGTTAGTAAAAGATATAAAAGCGAATTATTACAATACTGCGATAAACCGATGCAATAAGTATCCAAAATGTATGTGGAAAACTATCAATCAATCAGAAAGTTACAACAAATCCAGATGAAATAGCAGAAGATATGAATAAATATTTCAATTGAATGATATTGGAACCGTTTTGGCTGATAATCTCTCAAATGGGCATAATAGTTTTGAGGCGTATGTCAACCCTACTGAAACTTAATTTGAAATTCAAAACATTTCTGTAGTGGAGGTAAAAAGTGAAATTTCAAGAATCAAAACTTCCAAAGCTACTGGACATGATCGTATATCACCAAAACTTTTGAAAGATAGTGTGGAAGTAGTTGCCGAATCCCTCACAAATATTTTCAATAAATTCATTGAAAAAGGCGTATTTCCTGATGACCTTAAGATTGCATGCATATCTCCTATACATAAAGGGGATAGCAAACTAGAATGTTGTAACTACAGACCAACATCTACTACAGGGTGTATCAAAATAAACGCAATTCATCTTTTGAGCTTAATAACTTTCGAAATACTATTTCTACTTAAACGCTTTTAGGCTTATTTCAAAGCCTGTTCTTTTCTCTTTCAAACAAACTATTATCCTTGTCTCCAATGCTAGTAATAATTGCACAGGAAAAGATTTAGTAAAACCTATCATTTTTAGTTGCTGTTTAATTATGCAAGTTT